AAAAAGAAATATTCTCTCAATATCCTTTGGAAAAAAAAAAGAATTCTGCCACAAAAGCAGACTAGTTCTACCTGCAAAGCATGCCACAACCCTTCTGTAATGACCATCAAGTCTTGGGGACCTGAGCCCACCGCAGTGTCAGAAACATAAGGTCAGAGCAGTGGAGGTGTGTGTGTGTGCGCCTAAGACTTTTAATTCTGTGAAAACCATATAACTGCTAAATAGGAATTTGTATTATTTTTTCTTTTATTTTTCTGTTTTAAGACTGTCTACAAAAGATGGCCTTATTCTTTAGTCTATAAAAGCATTAATATGTATATGTTCTTGGTATTTTGAGATGGCCCTTTATTCTTTTCAACAAGTGTTTAACTGGGTATGGACAATCAAATGTGCTTTAATTTATGCCATGATAATATTTTTCACATGTGTAAAAATTCACAAACCAGAAAAATTTATTTGTAAAGACCACGTGTCTTTGTTTCTTGGTTCAGAAAGGATTCTCACCATATTCCTAGTATTAGCTCATCTAAGCTTGGAGTTAAAAACACTTAGCTTTTAAAAAAACAAAAAAACAACACTTAGATTTCTGGTATGAAACTTTCTTTAAAATTTGTATCCTAGGGGCACCTGGGTGGCTCAATCGTTAAGCGTCTGCCTTCGGCTCAGGTCATGATCCCGGGGTCCTGGGATCGAGCCCCACATCGGGCTCCCTTCTCCACAGGAAGCCTGCTTCTCCCTCTCCCACTCCCCCTCTGCTTGTGTTCCCTCTCTCACTGTCTCTCTCTCTCTCTCTCAAATAGATAAATAAAATCTTAAAAAAAAAAATTTGTATCCTAAATGTTTTCTGTAATGGGCAAGCATCATGAAGAAAGAAACTGCCTCCAACCTGAGGTCTGACACAAAACTTTCCATCTATAATGATCGGGAGGGGCGAGAACAGTGATAATACCATGATGTGTGTGGTAATATACCATGATGAATATGAGATTTATGTATGTCTATAAACTTATTCTTTGTAAGTTCTAATTTTCATAAATCCTTGTCCCCTCGTGAAGTGTCTATGAATAGCACGAGCATGTGGGTAGTACTGCTTTTGATTTGATGGTATTTCTCTTAAAAAGAATGGGAAGAGTGTATCAGTTACCGATTTATTACTTCTCAGCTCTGAATGCACCTTCTCTATGATAAATGCTCTGAGGTGAACAATGGTACTTTAAGCACTTCTCCTTTGAAGTATGTGTGACATTAAGTTTTCTCAGCAGAGAGGCTGAAGGGACAGTGCAGGGACGAAGAGGCTCTCCTGAGTCTCCGGCACAGGGGCTGGCAGTATGGATGTGACGACAGCTAGTGAAGTGTGGCCCAGTGACAGCCCAGAACGTGGTTTGCCTGAGACCTTGAAGCCTTGGCTTGGCCATAACCTTTCGGCAGCCGTGTTGACACGGACACCAGAGTCCCAACTTGGCTCTGAAGGCCTCCTGCCCTCCACCAGCAGCCAGACCTCCTTTGCTCACCTGTGTTACTGGCTGCTGATCAGCTCCTGCACACCTGTACTGCACAGGGTAGTCTATGGCTGGCCCAGAACCCAGCTCTGGTCTAGCCAAACCAGCCAAACCCCTCTGCTATGCCATGGGCTAATCTCTACTTTCTCCCCTGAGGCTGGAATCTCTGGTAGTTTGTCCTCCCTTGGGCCGTGCTCCCTCAGCCCCAGGGAACCACACAGAGTTTCCCTAGATCTTACAGTTACTCTTTTATCGTAGGCAATAATTCCCTGTATTAAACTGCCCTTGTTTAACTTACTTTGTGGTTTCTGTCTCCCGATTGGGAGGAAGGGCAGAAGTGAGTACACATGAGCACATGCTTGCCCACTAATGGAAAAACCTCTAAATTGCCAAACCCCAAATAAAAATTTAAATGTAAAAAATGCCCAGACAGTCTCAAATCCAGAATAGTCTAGTGTATTTACAGCCCAAGTGCGGAATTAAAATCCTCTGACTCGCTCCCACTGAAAACTATACTGGTGAATAGACAGACACATTGTGGTATCTCTACACAATGACAACTCTGCTGCAGTCAAAAGGAACCAGTCCATAGACAGCAGCAACATGGATGGACCTCACAACAGCATGCTAAATGGAAGGGCCAAACACAGAAGGTGATATCCTGTATGATTCCGTTCACATGGCATCGTAGGAAAGGAGACTATTGGGATAAAAACTGGGGCATGAGGGAACTTTTCAAGGTGACGGAAACGTTCCAGATCTTCATTACGGTGGTGTTGATACAACTGCATTCATCTGTCAAAACTCATCAAACTGTACACTTAAAAAGGAGCAAATCTGGGCGCCTGGGTGGCTCAGTTGGTTAAACGACTGCCTTCGGCTCGGGTCATGATCCTGGAGTCCCGGGATCAAGTCCCACGTCGGGCTCCCTGCTCAGCAGGGAGACTGCTTCTCCCTCTGACCCTCTTCCCTCTTGTGCTATCTCTCATTCTCTCTCAAATAAATAAATAAATAAGTCTTTTAAAAAAAAAGGAGCAAATTTTATGGTATGTAAATGAAACCTCAATAAACCTGAATTTACAAAACAAAAAAACTACATATCAAAAACTGTGGAAGGTATTTAGAGTAATACCTAAAGGGAATTTTATAGCCTTATATGCAGATATTAGAAGAGAGAGATGACTGACAACTGGCAAACTTAGTTGTTCAACTAAGAAGGAAAAACACCCAGAATAAACCCACAGAAAGCAGATAAAGGTAAGAACATAAATTCATGAATTCTAAAGCCAATGCCCAATGGCAAGAATCAGTAAAACCAAAAGGTGGTTCTTTCAAATGACTTAAAAAAAAAGAAAAGAAAAACTCTGATGAATCTGATTTTTAAAAAAGAAGAAGAAACAAATATTGGGAATGGAAAGCAATTTGGAATTACAGATACTGCAAATTTTAACATCCAAAACTTTATACCAAAGAACTTTAAAACTTAGATGAAATCAAGATTTCTAGGGGGAAAAAATGACCAGATTTATCTGGAATAAAATCATAAAGACCATGGACTAAGAAATGTGGACCACAAGGACAAAGTAGGAGGAGCAGGACTGCTCACCACGTACACCGAAATGTCAGGGCCGCAGAAGATGAAACAATCTTTGCAAACAGATGCAATGCTGCCATTACTACGCAAAGGTGCTTCCCTACATGCGGGACAAACATGTCCATTCCCAGAGCTTCTCCTAGGAAAGAAGGGGAGCCCTCCAGGGGCCAGAGATACTGTTTGGATGCCTACCTCCCTTCCTCAGAATGCTAACACTGCTCTTCCAGTGAGCCAAGAAAGCTGAAGGGAAGGTTGGACAGAGGGGCCAGCAGAGGCCCCGCTGGAGCCGCCTGGCGGACAGTGCGGGATTTGGGACCTCACTGCGTAATGACGACAGCAACGATAACCGTGACAGTAATCTAAGCCAGTGTTTGAAAACATATTTACTAAACATTATTAGCTGGTCACTACATTAAGCACTCTTCCTATATGATAATCTCATTTGATCTTAATTAAATCTACGGCTCTAATTATTAATCCATTCCAAAGACGGGAAATTTAAGGTTTGCAGAATTCCATAATCTTACATTACACAGTCAGCAAAGGGCAGGGACCAAAACTGAATATGGTTCTGTCGGACACTAGTCTGTACTCTTTTTTTTTAAAAGATTGTATTTATTTATCTGACAGAGAGAGAGAGGGACAGCGAGAGAGGGAACACAAGCAGGGGGAGTGGGAGAGGGAGAAGCAGGCTTCCCGCGGAGCAGGGAGCCCGATGCGGGGCTCGATCCCAGGATCCAGAGATCACAACCTGAGCTGAAGGCAGATGCTTAACGACTGAGCCACCCAGGCGCCCCCCTAGTCTGTACTCTTAATGGAGTATCAGTCAATATCTACTACCGGTCAGGTGCTTTTCCCCTCATAGTCTGGATTAGAGCAAGAATAAAGCACGAAGCTACCATCAAAGCAACACTGAATACAGAGAACACCCAAGAGTTCCTTGCTTGCCTTGGTGACAATGAGTTAGCAGAAGACTGACTTTACTCAAGTCACCATAATACTAAGTGGTTAAAAGCAAGAGACTTTTCTTGCTTTCTCTACCTGTAAGATGGAATAGCCAGGTAATCCCAGCTAATTGCAAAAAAGTCTCTGTGAGAAACAATCTGAATAAACACATGGGTAGAAGTTCCCGGGGAACAAATCTTGGGCAAAATAAAAAGACACAGTATCTTCAGGCAGAGCTTTAGCGCAGTGGTCTGGACTACTTCCCGACTGTGGAATCCCCCCTCCTCTCAAAATGACCAGACCTGGTCAAGAAAACGCTGGATGGTACCTCTTGCTGGAGAGACAGCAGGAGCTGACACACGTGCCCTGACAGGACCCTCTGGCCTCAGAAAGCCCATCATTCTCGGACTGAGGCCGTGTCGGAATGGCTTACTGAGGGACGACAACTCCGAGAGACAGACCACTTGTCACCTGTGCTTTGAGTGAAGCCACAGGAAAGCGAGCTCAGGGCTGAGGGCTGAGGGCGCCAAGAGACTATGTGCGAATCTTAGGATCCATTTCTGATCTTCGACCCTAAGCCACCTCCATCTCAATTCCACTACCAAAACTCACAAAATCCGCGGTCTGCACTCTGGCTCACCATGTGGTTGAGATAATAACCATCCTACATTTTAACAGTAGAGTATAAATGGCCAGGAAGGACGAGCTTTAAAGAAGCAAGCTGCCAAGCGGCCACAGATCAAGCAGCCTCCGAGCCAAACAAAGGAAACAAAAAACAGTGTCAGGCTCACACCGGCTGATACCGTTGAAGCAGCCTCCTGGGGTCACAAAGCACCAGCATTTAGGTCTTGTGCTCAGTGCCATTTCAATAAAACTGAGTTTAAAACTAAGCTCAAGTCAGCCGGCGCGAGTCACCAGCAGAACCAAACTGCCGTGACGAGACAAAGACGACATTCATTGACCATGTGCTTTCTCAAAAAGCATATCTAAACAGCAGGTTTCCCTGGCAATGCTGGATGCATACTTTTTCAGACTGCTGTTCTTGGCTGGTTTTCTGAAAGTAAAAAGTACAAGATCTCATTATATTCCCAAGTACAAATGAATTCAGCCTTAACAGACTTTAAACCCAGCTTTACGGGGAAAATGAGAAATTTGAAATACCTTTGTCCAGAACGATTTAGGATAGTCTTCTTACCAGAAACTGCTCAGTATGATTACCCAGTAAAGATCCATTAACATGCAACTAGTGTTTATCCTGGCTAGCTCCGGGACATCCACACGGTACTGGAGAGATGGAGGCCACAATACTAATCATAATCTCCATTCATCTTGCCTCCAGCACAGGATTATGAAAAGAAATTCACCAAAAAAAAAAAAAATTTAAAAAGCAAACAAGTACAGAGATACTCCAGAACAGACAGGCAAGAGTCTGAGGGCACCAGGTCTCATGTTGCAAATGCTGCCTGAATTCACACCCCCAACAGACAAAACAACAAAAGGAAACACGAAGTCTCAACTCCTAAACCTGTCACTGACAGCACGAAACCCAGCCTTCGTAAGGCAGAATGACCTAAAAGCAACCTAATTCCAACCAAAACCGTTCAAAGTTCCAAATACCAAATGCCAAATAAAAGGAGAACGATTAAGTCAACAAAATAATACAATGTGAGGGACTATTATGTAATCATCAAAAGTGATCATTTTATAAAAGTTTTCTTTTTTAAGATTTTATTTATTTATTTATAAGGGAACACAAGCAGCGAGAGTAGGAGAGGGAGAAGCAGACTCCCCGCAGAGCAGAGAGCCCAATGCGGGGCTCGATCCCAGGACCCTGGGATCATGACCTGAGCCGAAGGCAGACGCTTAATGACTGAGCCACCCAGGCGCCCCTTATAAAAGTTTTTAATGATAGGAGAAAAAGCTTAAGATATGTTAAGAGAAAAAAAAATCAAGATACCATATTACACATATAGTAAGTATGTGCTCAGCTATGAAAAACAATATACAAGTATAAAAACCCGGAAGCAGCGAGGTTAAAACGTAAACTGATTCTTGCTGGGGGCTGTGGAACCACAGGAGAAATTTTCTTCCCTAAGCTTTTCTTCAATTTCTAAACTTTCTGTAATAGGCATGTATTCTTTTTACACTACGCCGGGGAAAAAAAGAGCAATGCAACATCTCAGGAGGGCAAAGCAACACTAAAACAGATGATGAAAAATAACATTTATTGAGTGCTTCCTGTGGGCCCGGTACTGTCCTAAGTGCTTTGTACACATTATCTCACATGAGATTCACAACAGTCCCACAACAGAGAGAGGTGTGATTTTATCCACTTTTGCCAGTTACGGAAATTGAGTTAGCCGGGTCGCATAACAGGTGCAAAGATGGGTTATGAGGCCTGAATGATGACTCTGGTGGTTTCAACCACTAAGTATACTGCCTGTCAACCACAATTGCAGAATCTGCCTCCCTGCCTGCAATCTGAACCTAAAAACAAGCATTGATGATAAAACCTTCTTTAAAAGAAATTATAATAGGGCGCCTGGGTGGCTCAGAGGGTTAAGCGTCTGCCTTCGGCTCAGGTCATGATCCCAGGGTCCTGGGATCGAGTCCCACATCGGGCTCCCTGATAAGCGGGGAGCCTGCTTCTCCCTCTGCTTCTCTCTCTCTCTCTGTCTCTCATGAATAAATAGATGAAATCTTAAAAAAAAAAAATTATAATAATTTAGGAGAATATGACTACAAAAGAGGAATCTGCCCAGCTACTAAGATACTCAAGTAAATTTCTAAACTACTGAAAGCACCTCTAATGAAAGCTATAAAGAAAATCTATGTGATAGAGTGACCCATCACTGCAGGGGAAAATATACCAGCACAACAAATCTAACCCACAGCTAAACTCCACAGTACAAGAGAAAGCTAGGACTATCTGTCAAAGAAAGACTTCTGATACCAAGTCATCAAACTGCCAAGGAAAAAAAAGCATTTAAAAGATACAATTAGTAGGACTTGAACAAACAGGATCTGAATTTGCCCTTCCCTCCAAAAAACTCCTCAGCAGGTATTGACCACTGGGAGGCTAGAGAACAGAAAGAAACTTATGAGAAAAATAAACATTGTACTTGATGCCAAATGAAATAAGCTGCAACCAGCTCAGGAGGACCCCTGACTCTTTTCTCAGTCCAAAACCGAAGGCCTTGTGGTTAGAAATAATCAATTTTGCTTGGCAAAAAAGCATCAAGACATAGAAGTACTCTGGATCAAATTCTGTAGAATCAGCCTATTTCAGATGCATTAAAGTGAATGCCAAAACCAATATGGTGTTCTGTTCACAGCTCCTTTCTAGAGGTTTTAACAGCAGAAAAATACTGAAACTCAGAGTTTTAAATGGAAAATTCCTATCTATAAAAACAGACACTTTTAGATAGAAGCCATTAAGATTTGGTAATTCCAAATTCACCATGTATATTAAAAATTGCTGGGTGCCTGGGTGGCTCAGTCGTTAAGCGTCTGCCTTCAGCTCAGGTCATGATCCCAGGGTCCTGGGATCGAGTCCCACATCGGGCTCCCTGCTCGGCGGGAAGCCTGCTTCTTCCTCTCCCACTCCCCCTGCTTGTGTTCCCTCTCTCGCTGTGTCTCTCTCTGTCAAATAAATAAATAAAATCTTTAAAAAAATAAAAAAATAAAAAAATAAAAATTGCTGGTTGTTAGGAAAACTGGCTAGCTGATTAGAAAAATATGAAGGTGGATTGCTACCTTACCCTTTATATCAACACAGACTGCAAACAATAAATAGGGCAAAAGAAAAAAAGTATATATTCTAAAACAAAGTAAGGGTTACCATTTTTATAATCTCGGGATGTGAGAAACTTCTAAACATGGCATTAAATTCCAGAAGCCACAAAGGAAAAGCTGCTAAATCAAAATATTTTGATTAACATATATGGTATATTAACATATATGGTATTTAAAAAAATTTTAAATATCTGAACACTTAGATATCATAAAGTTTTTAAAAACTGGGAAAATCCAGATATTTTACACGCACCGTAATGTTTATAGCCGCATTGTCAACAAGAGCCAAGTTATAGAAAGAGGCCAAGGGTCCACTGACTGATAAATGAAGAGGTGGTATGTGTATGTGTATTACACACACACACACACACACACGTACATGTATATACACACACATACACAATGGAATATTACTTAGCCATCAAAAACCTGAAACGTTGCCATTTGCAGCCACATGGATGGAGCTAGACTGTACTATGCTAAGCAAAATAAGTCAGTCAGAGAAAGACAAATACCGTATGTTTCACTCCTATGTGGGATTTAAGAAACAAAACAAATGAACCTTGGGGCGGGGGAAGAGAGGCAAACCAAGAAACAGATTCTTAACTACAGAGAACAAACTGAGGGTTACTGGAGGGGAGGTGGTGGGTGGGGGATGGGGGAGATAGGTGACCGGGATTAAGGAGTGCACTTGTGATGAGCACCAGATAATGTACGGAAGTGATGAATCCCTAAATTCTAGACCTAAAACTAATATTACACTGTATGTTAACTAACTGGAATTTAAATAAAAATTTGGAGGAAGGAAAAAAAACTGGGAAAGTATCTTTACCATATATGTTAAAAGGCCTGTAACCTTACTTTGAAACTAATATGGAAAACAAGAATTCCATTAATAATTACATAAATAACACAAACTGGTACTTCAGACACCAAAAACAACAGGGAAATCTGACAATATGTATCATAATTTCAAATTTATAAACGGTTTGGCCCAAGTATTCCACTTGCAGGAATTAATTCTAAGGCCATGCATATCATGCAAGGGTGTTTATTAAAGCAATGTTTAATATTAAAAAGCTGGAGGCCACCTAAATGATTTGGGGATTAGTTAAATCAGAGGTCACAAAAGCAAATGTTTTCAGGGGATGGCACAGGAAATAAAAATAAGCTCAACAGGCCAGTTATGAAACAGCAAACAGGAAGTGGTATGCTCTGTGGTGAACTGGAGTGCTCCCGCCCATTTCACTAATTCAAATGGTGAACACGTACATGCCCGGCCAAACTGGCTCTCCCTTGCCCAGGCCCCCCAACCGGCCAGGGCTAAGTGCTGCTGCCTGGGACGACTCTGAGAGCAGCCGGGGAGGCTCCCCTTCCTGGGAAGGAGGCCTGTGGCATGGGAGTAGCTCCGAGAGGTCACTGGGACGCATCACTGCCCGACAGAAACCTGAGAAGGCATCTGCTTGCACACTGAGCTTTCCTCGGGGCTATGAGGCATCCAGCCTTGTCCAACAGGCCTGGGCCCAGAGTGCAGAGAAGGGAAGGGGAAGGACGGGGAAGGAAGGGGAGGGCGGGAGGGGGGCAGCAGTCAGGGAGGAAAGATTAGGCCTTCTGTGAGGTCTTCATTTTCTACAGGAACAAAAGTGGCGGGGGGGGAGAGGGGGTGAGCAAACAGCGGCGAACACGCACAGCACGTTCCTTCTTTTTTTTTTTTTTTTAAAGATTTTATTTATTTATTTGACAGAGAGAGACACAGCAAGAGAGGGAACACAAGCAGGGGGAGTGGGAGAGGGAGAAGCAGGCTTCCCACTGAGGGAGCCCGATGTGGGGCTCGATCCCAGGACCCTGGGATCATGACCTGAGCCGAAGGCAGACGCTTAACGACTGAGCCACCCAGGCGCCCCCAGCACGTTCCTTCTTATATAAGGTACATAAATCCCCACCTAGGGACCTCGCACCAGGAACTCAAGCACTGTTTCTGAAAACGCTCCCACAGAGTGCTGAGTTCAGAGGACCACTGTCAAACGCTCCTTCGGCAGTAAACCTCTGGGCAGCGGCTGCCTTCATCAGCCAAGCTGGCACAGAGAAGAACCGCCACGGATCATGTGACAGATGGCCTATGGTATTTTATCACAAGATCTGGATTCAGGCCAGGAACCGGTTTAAATGAATCCTAGAATGGTTGGAGTTTATCGTGACAGCCGCACTTCACAAGTGGAAAACATCCACGAGGATCTGGAATGGCACATCTCTTCGGTA